CCCTGAGAATATCTCAGAACAGTAAAACTTACTACGACGTTAAAAATAGGATTATAGTGAGAAATATAGAAGAAAAGACTGAAGTTTGGTATTAAAATATGGCCAATGTTTACGTAAGTATCATTTTCACTGAGGAGGAAAGTTAATTATACTAATGAAGACAAAAGCGAAAGTTAGAACGAAAGATATTTTATTTACATGACTCTAATATTTCACTTATGTCATAACCTATGGTGTCAATCTCAATGTACTTATTTCACAATCAGTGATGTCTATAAACAAGGTGTCTCTCTCAATACACTTATTTCACCATCAGTGATGTCTAAAAACTAGGTGTCTATCTCAATACACTTATTTCATCATCAGTGATCTCTTAAAACAAGGTGTCTATCTCATTAACTTTAATTCAAAAATATTTGTAAGTTCATCATCGACTTGTTTTACACATTTTAAGATACCCATCAAATTTTGGACACACTAGAAACTCACAGTTATCTACAGTTATGTGTAGTATATGATATATTTATAATATCTGTCACCTATAAACAGGTACCTATCTTGTCTGATACAGGCAAGCACTGCGGTTTTAACCACCTTTTATTCTCTAAAGAATAATGTTTTTAATATAGTGTTAGAATGGTTAATCTTCTGGTTGAAATAAATAAGTTATTTTTCAAGTCCTGTGTTAAAGATAAACACCCAAGTTTTGTGCTGTGTGACGTAAGGAAACATTACAATAAGACTGACTATATTTTAAACACTTACTTTTACAGTGGCTTAATATATATTTCCAATTATAATAATAGAGTACAACAGTTTCCCATATCTACTTTGTTGTAGGCAGCAGCCGAAAAAACTTTCGCCCAATTAACCTGACTAGCTCGCTAAAATCAGGTGCGATGGTTGTGTTGTAGAGTGATATAGTGTTTGTATTTTTTCACAAATGCTACACATGATATTGTGTTTTTTATTACCATCTCTCTCTTCATCAGTAGTCTTGCTATTCTTTAATTTTTATGGGCTTTAGATTACAGAAACCTGCGATGTCTTTATTGTCTTGACATTTTTATGTGTTCTTCAGTAATTTCCGTAAAATGAATCCAAAAATGATATCCATTTTTCTCCATCACGTATAGATTTTTCACAAAACGTCATAACGCAATACATAAAAGAAAAACCACGACACGTAGTTTTGAGACTAAAAGACGTAGATTTCACAAACAAATCGTGATGCATATACGTTTGACATCAATGTTCTTCCCTTTTCTTC